GGCACGCGACTTTAGGGGTTCGGCTTCTAAACGAGTAAAGATTGGCTTCTTAAAATGTCAGAATATAAGAATGTTAGAATATTTCTGAAGTTAGGCATGCCCATCGAAAGAGGCGACGAAGTCCCACTAAACATTAACCTGTAGTGTTTGTAATATTGCTGATAGTGAGTGAGTTTAACTTCCGACACTCGACTATATGTGTAAATGTACTGTCACAGGGGTTAGGGCTCACAGTTTCAGCTATTTGAACCAATAAATGTGGGCTTCTTGAGAATAATAACGTGAAGCTTTGGTCCGTATATAATTTGTTTGGATTGCAAGTTCCAAGCTTACAACTGGTGCCAGTCAATTTAGAAGCGGTGACAAATCGTGTTTTTCTACAAGTAGTCGAGGCTGCACAAACTTTCAATGCTCTAGTTCCAGGTTTTTAAATATTAATGATAGCCTTTTTTAAAAATGTGTAAATGTGCTGTCACAGGGGTTAGGGCTCACAGTTTCAGCTATTTGAACCAATAAATGTGGGCTTTTTGAGAAGTATAACGTGGAGCTTTGGTCCGTATATAATTTGTTTGGATTGCAAGTTCCAAGCTTACAACTCGTGCCAGTCAATTTAGAAGCGGTGACAAATAGTGTTTTTCTACAAGTAGTCGAGGCTGCAAAAACTTGTAATGCTCAAGTTACAGGTTTTTAAATATTAATGATAGCCTTTTTTCAAAATGAAAATTGTATAAATTTCATAAAGCCTCACTTTTATTTTAAATTAATCAGAAATTTGTTTGTATTCTATACATTGTCTGTAATGTGAAATTCTTCGTACTTGACTACTTTTGAAATTCAATTTGTATATTTCACAATAATTGTTTGCATAAAATTTTAAGAAATGAAATTTGATTTCTACAATAAATAAAAAGCAACTTCACCGGCAACAAAAGCGAAAGGAACTAAAATGTTACAACTTCAATAGTTTTCACTTCAACGAAAGTAGTTTTTATAAATTTTTGATTTCAATATTGTTTCACATCAAGTAGGAAAATTTTTACAAAAAGGAAACAATTTTAGTTGAATTTATGTTATCCTTACTATATTCTGACAATATTCACACAACAATTTAGATACTCAAATACGGAAGCTTCAAGTTCTACACGAAAAAAATTGTAGAATCCGATAAGTTTGGTTGTGAAAATAAAAATAAATAAAATGAAATAAAATAAAATTATAAAATGGAAAAAAAGGATATCGAGTGAAGTAAAAAAAAATTATATTTCTTTAACAAGTTGGAGAAATATGAAAAATAAACTTTTCAAGTTGTTGCTTGCTTATTGCACAAATTCACTACTTCAGACGATTGCAGATACGAATGTGCTTATGTTTTTTAAATGGCAACATGGATATACAAATTGACGCAGATACTCGTCCTCATACGCATCTGAAACATTTGCAACTTTTGACTGAAAGTATCTGTAATTATGAACATGTGCTACACAGTGCTACACAGTCAAAAGATTGCGTCTGCGAATATAAAGTACAACAAATAAACGCATCCTTAAGATGTTTGCATATTTGGATTTTGTTGTTATTGTTTTTAATAAGAGTGGCGCACAGAGAAAGTTCCAAAAGAATTATTTGTAAAATAAAAAATAAAAAACACCAGTGCAAACGATAAGTGTTATAATGCTAAAGCAAAATAACGTGATAATGCGCTGCAAATGACCTAAAAAGGATATTTGCTTCGAACCAGATTCTCTTCATAAAAAATACAAACAGTAATTTAGGATGAAGGCAATCTAACAAATAATTCTTGACGGCACTATGAATACGTCAAAAAATAAAATAAATCTATTGAACCGCCTTTTGTTTGTGTTTGGTATACCTAACTTCATCTGAATGGAATGAGAAGAGTTAGAAATCTGTTAGGACTTTTCTCATTTATAAAAAAATATTGTTAATGGCATAAGATCTGAATAGGATGAGAAGAGTTAGAAATCTGTTAGGACTTTATTCATTAATATAGAAAATGGTCAATGGCATAAAATCTGAATGGGATGAGAAGAGTTAGAAAACTGTTATAACTTTTCTTATTTATAAAAAAATATTGTTAATGGCATAAGATCTGAATAGGCTAAAGGAGAGTTAGAAATCTGATAGGACTTTTTTCATTAATAAAAAAAATTGTCAAAGACGTAAGATCTGAATGGGATGAGAAGAGTTAGAAATATGTTAGGACTTTTCTAATTATTAAAAAAATATTGTCAATGGCATAAGATCTGAATGAGATGATAAGAGTTAGGACTTTCTCATTAAAAAAAATATTGTATAAGCATATAATCTTGAAGAGATGATAAGAGGTTACAAATCTGTAAAGTTTTCTTATAAAGCAAAAACTTCGTCAATGGCATAGAGGTTCAGAAAGAATTACCCTAATTCTTACGATCCGATTGTTTGAGCGGTAGCATTCATTTTCATAGGATTAGGATATTGAACGTCTAAGAAACATTTAGTCTACATATTGTGTGAAGAAAATGTCCTAAATTATTGTAAGTGGTTTTTCGAAAGTCGTGAACACTTTTAATTATTTAGTCGAAGTAGCGTCGTGCACTCGATCTAAAAAATTATGTCCACTTTGTCGGGTTAGAGATTTCTCCAAGTCCGAGTGTCTTTAATGAAAGAGCAGTATGGATCGATCTGCCCTATTGAATCTTATGAGCCATGAAAGTCCCTCCAAATGAGGTGTCAATACCCTGCATTTGTGATCTTGAAAATAATTCTGGTATTTAATTATTATTTTTGAAACTAAAATTAACAGAGATTGAATTATTATTATTGTTACTAAATTATTTAATAAAAAAAATTAGTTCAATTTGTTAAAAATAATAAAAAATTTTTGTTGTTGCAATTCACTACCGTTCGATAAAAACCTCTCTATTGAAAAGAAAAGGTCTTATTTTGAATTTAATTTCTTTCGTCAAAACGTTCGTCAAAAATCAATACAATAAAAAATAAAGAAAAATCATAAATAAATTAAAATTTATTTTATTTCCTTCAAAGTATATCCCATCAATTGCAGCGAGTGACCAAATCTTTCATGCTAATGAGAGTTCTTGAATTAGTCGCAGACTTCAATCTCTTTAACGAATATATCTTTATAACCATTATCGTTATAATGATATATTGAAATAAAAGGGGAAATATTAGATCTAGAACCAAAAAAAATTAAGCAGAAAAATCTATTTATTTACAAAGATGAAACGCACAAGTGAAAAGTCTCCAAACAAACAGAAGGTTAACTATTGTAACATTAATATAAATTTACATTATTACAAACATTATTATGTTGGGGCTAGTTGAATCAGTGCACTTTAGCACTTTTACTCGCTACTAACTGCGAGATTTCTGCATAACCTCTCTCTACGCCTTGACTGGATTATTGTTTATCACTTCATCAGACTAAGCAATAATTAACCTCAGATCTGCATACCTCCCTGAGGAACCTGTAACGATTCTGAGATTCGGTAACTCAATTTAAAAAATATATTATATATGTACAAAAAAATGTACTAATTAATGAAATCAATTTTATTTCAATTTAATTTTAACGCATTAACAAATATATGTTATGGTCCAAAAATATTTAATAGTCCACTTATGCTCTCTTTAATTCTTCCTGGACGTATTCATCAAATAACTTCTGCGTAGATACGGTGTCAAATTCTACATCAGCGTTCCATTCTCCAGTATCACGTGCGGTACAAATGATTTGTATCAGTTTAAAGACATCCTCACTGTACTTATCTTCCATAACTTGAATTTGTTCATCTGTTTTATGCAAGTACTCTTCTATCTCTTTTAATAACAATTTATTATTATTATCTAATATGAGATTATTTATTTTAATCAATTTATATATCCACTCCTCGTATATTTTCATTTTAGTTTTCTCACTAACATTCGCATCATCTAAACGATTTTTCAAGATTTGATGTAGATGAGAAGTTAGCAAGGGTACTTCAACAGAGTGTTCCTCTTTCAAGATATTTTCATTCACTTCGGCAATACGTCTGCGTTTTTTAATAGGTTCAATGTTTTCCGAGCAGCAAGCCTGCTCTAATACACCTGGTTCTGTACTGGTAACATCAATTTTAACTGCAATAGTGATGACACTGTTATGTTCTGCATTCAACTGAACTGTGTGAGCTTGTTCATTCATTGTTAATTTTTTTTTAAAAAGTTTTTACTAAATCCCGTGGGTCTCGAAATAGGAATTAAGTTTTCTAGTTTGGAAAAATTTTTAGAATGTATTTTACAATGTCAATAGAACCTAATCTATTAAAACAAATCATGTTACTATAATTTGCAGTCAGTTTTTATAATGAACTGTCAACACATAGTAGAATGTAAATATGTAATAATTTTTTAACAGATTTATGAGCATAAATAATAATTTACGTTTTATAGAGACTATAGGTTGAAAAAAGTCCTCTAATGTCAGATTCGCAGCCTGTTGTGCTGGCGACCAGATCTTGCAGTTCCATTTTTGTACATGTAATTTGTGTTTACTTCATCAGAAGCACTATATCTTCCACACACGCTAACAATCATGTTATGTGATTAATCGCGAAGTTGTAGCAGGCAGAATACGGGGTCCAATGTACAAGAGTATAAACCAGTGCTATAGAAATTAAAAATCATGACTGTGAAAAACGGACAATTAATACTTCCAGTAAAATATGTTTAAGGTCAGAGCATTGGCCAATATATCCGTTGCTTGCCCAATATTAATATGTGAACTATGTCGTGTTGACAACTTTTTGTGAGGAAGCCAGATCGAGCGCATTATTATCCTACCCGCGTTGAGTTTATTGAAGAAGTGTTTTTATTTGTTATATTTTATAAATGAGAGAGTAAAGAATGGTCGCATATGACACATGAAGTAAATAGTAAAAAACGTAGTAAATATATTTTTGTAATAATAGAAATTTTATTTAAGATTATTTGTATGACAATTAAGTGATGATCAATATTATTTTTAAGATAGTCTATCGTTTTATTATGCAAGATAACAATAGTTTTGGAATTTTATATTTGTACCGTAATTCAATTTTGAAACAAGTCTTAAAATTTTAAATTATTTTGATTATTCCATCATTACTTAATGATAAATTCATTATTTATAGTATTGCACAAAGCAGATTTTAGTTATGAAAGGTATGTAGTAGCGCCTTCATCTTAAAAAGTAAGTTTGGATGTAATCCTTGTGTTATATTTTGAAGTATTATTTTTATGTTTCGCGTCTATTATTCAAATAAAATTGGGTAATGGGTAATGTGGTGTTCTTTACTTTGTTCTTTATAACTATGGCGTTTTTACTATAAATATCAGCTTGACTGTACTATTCCTGAAAAAAATTAATTTGATGTATTTAATATATATATTTGAATATGTTATATGAACTACTCTTACCGTCCACTGCGATGCATGGGCTTGTATTACACATCTTGGGTTCTGTAAGTAAATTGTGTATACATAATTTATTATGAGTAACAAAAAATATTTAAAACTTTAAGAAACTAACGCTGAACTTATAGCCGCAAATCGGGCATCGTTTTTCCAATAAATTCCGGTTTGCATAATTCTTGTATTCTTGTAGACATTGACGGCAATAGCTATGACCGCACGCCAAATGTGTTGGGAATATTTTTTCACCTAAGCAAATAGTACAATGTTCAGTGCTAATCATTTTTATATAAGTTATTGATTCTGGATAGCCAAGAGTTTGTTATAGCCAAATCTAATTATTATTGAAGACAATTTTTTGTTCTTGAAATAGTATTAAACTTTATTTATTAAACTTGGACATTTTGAATATTGAAGTAAAATTCATATTTAAACTATTATATATAAAAAAAGTAATTGCTTCGATAACTTAATAATATCAATATCATTATTATGGCCCACTTTGTGGTTTGTAACATTTAATAACAGGACGAGTTCCACTATTAGTGATCTTTAAACTTGTCAAAAACTTCTTTTGAAGAATTTTGTAAGAGCTTCATGGTATGATTCCAGTGTTGTCTAGCGTTGGTAGCTGCCTATGAAAGCTTAAGACCACGGTGTCTTAAGCCATAGCGAGTTCCACTATTAATGATCTTTAAACTTGTCAAAAACTTCTTTTGAAGAATTTTGCAAAAGCTTCATGGTATGAATCCAGTGTTGTTTAGCGTGGGTACCTGTATATGGAGGTTTAAGACCACGGTGTTCTAAAAAACTTACGTATCAAAATAATGCGCAAATAAACACTCCATTGGAAATTTTAGGGAATTTCCTTCGACACTAACTGAAGTAATGTATTTGGCATAACATCCTTTTGGTAAGGAGCAAGGCCCATTCTACATCTGCTGATCTTTGTGTCACAGCACCAGGTGTGAAAACACAACTCCATGCTTAATGATTATAAATAAATAATGATTATATAAATTCTATCCGTGTAAGTTTAGGTATTAACCACAGCCATCACTATACTATCAACCTCAGTATGTCAGAACAGAGGAAACTGTGAGCACCTGACACCCGTGGTATTAGATTTACACCTCCGGTCGGGTGTTGCAATTAGTGACCCTGATTTACTACCATTCAGACTCCAATAATATTCTAAGCCCTTTACTCTTACATAAACTTAGCTGAAATCAATAAGAACTTTCACAAGCATTAAAGGACATATGAAAACCTCTATAGACCTCTCTACAGTCAAATAACAATTTTATTGTCTCTGTTAAATATGTGAAACTTCAAAGCATACTCTAAGTAAAAAAGAATGAAATTCAACACTATATTTAAAACTGCTTCACGAGGGATTCATAAGTGATTCATAAATCTACTCAAATTTAATAAGAGAGTGTAAGTGCTTAAAATGACTAACTTGAGAAACAAAACAAGGGAGAATTATTGTTCTTTTATTATAGAATAGCTATTATTCTGACTAGTACTATAATATTCGATGAATATTACTGTAGATTTCTTAATTAATCATAAAATAAATATAACTTAATTAAAATGATTCAATAAAAATTGCCCGAATACACATATTCTTTAAATAATATACAGTTTTTTATATATATTTTTTAAACAATCCTACAACTAGTTTTCAAAAATATTTATCTAAAAATAAAAATTTGACTATAATTAACATGAGTATAATTTTTATAAGTATTTAGGTCGTTTGCACAGGTGCAAACATGCTGTTAAAAATATTATCATATATTGGCTTGGATATAAGCATTTTTAATTTAATATTATAAATACTTTCAAATATTTAGCTAGATCTAGTAACACTTTTTTAGTTTAACAGATGATACATCCACTGATTACATTATACGATGTCAGATTCTCCTTTTTCGATTTTAATTTTTAATTTTACTATTTAAAGTTAAGAGGTAGTTTTTTTCTACTGCTCATTTTAAAAATATTTGGAAAACTTTCTTTTTTTTTGGAGAGGTACGGAAGGAAGTTTGTGGAAGGATGTCTAACGTAAAACTGTTTATCTATTTATTTGTAGCAAGAGTGGGAAAGTCACGAAACTCGTATCTGTTAAAATACAAAAAAAATTTTTGTTAATACAATAAATCTTCTATTTTTGAACTTTAACCCTTTATTTTCTTAAACTCACGTGTTTGATAAATATTTTTTTGGTACTGATGCGTCATGTAAAAGTAACTATAAAGCAAGATATCATGAAATTTTCGAAAATGTTTCATATATTTCAAAATTCTTTTTTAGTAAAATGAAAAAAGCAAAACAGGGTTGTAGTTTATCCACTCCACTTCTACCGTAGATGTAGTTTAATTAGCCTACCACCATAGCACCACTGTCTGATAATAATGCCAATTCCAATATAGCATACTATTAAAAACGTTTCGGTTTGCTTGAACTAATGGATCACCTTTGCCACCCATTCTTTTTCAATGTCATCATCATTTACTATCAGTTTAAAAAAAAAATTAAATAAAATTCCACATTTGTCATATTAAATGGAAGAAACACATGTAAATGAACACTCATAGTTCCACCTTTAAATTCTTTAAAATTCCAAAACTGTAATTTATCTTAATTACTGCAAAGCTTTTTAATATTTTTATATACAAAAATATATATGTATATAAACATTTATGTACAAATATTTTTTTTTTTTTTGGTTAATCCATAATGGAAACAACTGCTTTGTTCATTGCACATTTGTGTTACTCACAAACTATAAAGCTTTCAACAGATTGAATAGCTTTTGTATTATTATTAGTCCATGACGAATTTTTGAATGTGAACAAAAAAAAATTTTCTTTTTATTTTCTTTTATTTTATTTTATCTTCATTTCAATATATGAAAATGAAAGCATCGAATGTGTATGTCTCCCACATTGTGGACACATTATCTCATTTTTTATCGTCAGACTATATAAAAATCCAAACCGAAGTAGTAATTTAGTTGGTTTAAGTATGCTTTCTAATGCACTATGCTCAATTGGATATAATAATAATAATAATATTACTATTATATTGTAATATAATATAAAAAAAATAAATAATATTAACATAATATAATATAAAATACATTTGAAAGAAAAATAGTTCGCCAAATCTACGGGCCAATCCAAATTGATGCAGACGCTTTTCAAAGACGACCAAATAATGAAATTGAAGAAACAATGCTTAGAAATGAAAATATAGTGAGATGCATTAAGTGGCATATTTAACGCAAAGTGCAGAGGTAAGCCAAGAAGAAGATGGGATGAGAACGTGTATGGTGATGCAAGAACGATTGGAGTACTGAACTGGAAGAGAGTATCAGAAGATAGGGACAGATGGAGGCAGATCGTGAGGGAGGCCAAATTTCATACTGGACTGTAGTACCAAATAAGAAAAAAGAAGAATAATATAAAATAAATAATAATAATATAATATAACATAAAATTAATTATAGTGATATAATATAAATATGTTGAAATAATTTTGGCAGCCCAAGCTAGTCTTATCTCTTTTTATATTTATTATTATATTTCTATAATATAATACTACTAATCACATCTTTTCACAATATACTATTTTCTTTTATAATATTATTAAAGTTAAAATAATTATAATGATAATTACGTACTTTTTTATATAAATATTAAAGTTATTCTTGTATTGTGATGTAAGTAAATTCAAACTAGTTTTTTATTATAACATTTCCCAGAAAAATTTTTTAAAAAAGAATTCTTCCATTTTTTGAGTGCTGTTAGTTGTCAATTATTTTTTATATTGGTGTTAAATTTGAATGCATTTAGTTAGTATGTTGTCAGTTTATTTCTAAATATTGAATTCAGCTCACTTGAGCTTTGACTGCATGTACGAATGAAGTAAAAGGCTTTAAGCCTCGAAGTGAATTGTGAATATAAAATATAAAATCTTAATGCTATTATTACACGAAATTGAAAACTTATTATTGTTAATACTGTTGAAAATTGTATTTAAATTATATACAAAAATAATTAATATATAATAATGTATGAGTCATGTATAATATATATAAGTATGCTAGTTCAAATTATAATGAGGTTATTTTCAGTATTTATTATGAAGTGCGTGATTTTATCACAAATCAATTTTATTGAAAATCTGTAAACGTAAACAGGTATAATGTTAGAAAATGTTGCCAGGCCATACAATAATAGCTTAATCCATTTCTAGAACCAAGTTTTCTAATGAACTATGCTACACGATAACTATAAAACGCAAAGCACAGAACAATTCTTCATTAATTAAAATTAAGTGATTTTTGGAGTTCAATCCCTCAAAATAAGGATGTAGTTCTTACACTTACATACTTGTGAACAAAATTTTTTAAGGCACTTGCCCAGATAAAACTTTCTGACCCTTTCATTAACCCTTCTAGAACTAGGACGAATCCAAACTGACAGTATTATATTCATTGCAACTGCTCATTGCTTAATAGGTTAGTATCCGCAGTGACTTGGAATTTTAGCAGATCAACTTAAAAGTTTTAAGAAAGAAACTTAATTGTTAACATTAGGAAAGAAAAAGTAGTCATATATTATTAACATGTTGAAAAATTTGGTACTTTAGGAATAGATAATATTTCTCGACAATATCTTATTATTGTATATTAATATTATTAACTCAACAATATTTTATTATAGTGGCGGTCACTATAAATGTTAATTTGAAGCACTGTCAATGGACTTATGGATCAATGGTGAACGGGATTTGTGTCACCACAAACACATTTTGTGATTTCTATAGTTTTCTTTGATACTAAATCGAATTTACTTACTCGTTGTTGGCACATAATGAATATATAAAAAACAAAAAAAAAATGGAAGTTACATAATATAAAAGATATAAATAATAACAGACAAGAACGGATAAAGGAAATCAGCGGAAATATAAAAGAAAATTAAATTAAAAAACTTAAACCAGGTCTCAATTTTTTTTTTAATCTCTTACTCTCATAGAACTCTCTTGCAACTTTGTCGACACTTATTTTGTGTTGTGACCACACTATTACTTGTATTTCGAATTTGGTAATTATTATACCAACCAATAAGTTATTTAACCAAATCCTGTAATCGTATATTGCTTGGATATATCAACGAAAATATCAAACATATTTTTTCATCATTATAAGAAAAAAAAGGTTTCAGCGGGAAACCTTTTTGTCTGTATTTCGAAGAGCTGAGGGGTTTCTGTTCGGTTGTGATTGGTTTATTGCATAAAAGATCTACCATGGTCGCAGTTCTCAGTGCGGTTAGTAGCCAGTACTCCATTTATTTATTTATATACTTCTATTCACTCCGTTTAATACTTTATAAA